CGAGCGCTATGGTGATGGTGATGATCCGCAGATGGATGATGCCAGTGATTACGATGAGGATGACGAAAGCAGCAAGAAGATTGATTACTATGCTGTGGCACATCGTATCCGTGAGGAGGTTACCGAGCAAGCCAACATGCTCGTGGGCGGTAAGCTCAAGGAGTATCAAGTCAAGGGTCTCCAGTGGATGATCTCACTATACAACAACAATCTTAATGGTATATTGGCTGATGAAATGGGTCTCGGAAAAACCATTCAAACCATCAGCCTGATTACCTATCTGATTGAGCGGAAACAACAGGCTGGACCGTACCTTGTCATCGTGCCTCTGAGTACACTGACAAACTGGAACTTGGAATTCGAAAGATGGGCACCTTCTGTGAGCCGTATTGTCTACAAGGGACCCCCCAATACTCGCAAACAGCAACAAGACAAGATTCGGCAGGGAGGGTTCCAGGTATTACTCACAACATATGAGTACATCATCAAGGATCGCCCGATCCTGAGCAAGATTAAGTGGTTCCACATGATTATTGATGAGGGTCATCGAATGAAGAACTCGAACTCCAAACTGAGCTATACCATCCAGCAATACTACCATACTCGCTTTCGACTCATTCTCACCGGTACTCCCTTGCAAAACAATCTCTCTGAACTCTGGGCAATGCTCAACTTTGTTCTACCGAACATTTTTAAGTCTGCAACGACTTTTGATGAGTGGTTCAATACCCCCTTCGCGAACACGGGCGGCCAGGACAAGATGGAACTTACCGAAGAAGAGCAAATTCTTGTTATTAGGCGTCTTCACAAGGTCTTGCGACCCTTCCTTCTCCGTCGTTTGAAAAAGGATGTCGAAAAGGACCTTCCAGACAAGACAGAGAAGGTCATCAAGTGCAAGTTCTCTGCCCTTCAGTCCAAGCTGTACAAACAAATGGTCACCCACAACAGGCTTGTCGTTAGTGACGGCAAGGGCGGAAAGACTGGTGCTCGTGGACTGAGTAACATGATCATGCAGCTCCGGAAGCTATGTAACCACCCTTTCGTGTTCGATGTTGTGGAAAATGTCATGAATCCCCTAAGCATCAGCAATGATCTTTTGTGGAGAACAGCAGGAAAGTTTGAGTTGCTTGACAGAATTCTGCCTAAATATCAAGCAACTGGCCATCGAGTCTTGATGTTCTTCCAGATGACTGCGATCATGGATATCATGGAAGACTATTTGCGTTACAAGCGATTTGAGTATCTTCGATTGGATGGTACGACCAAATCCGATGAGCGCTCCGATTTGCTTCGAGAGTTCAATGCCCCCGACTCCAAATACTTCATGTTCTTGCTATCCACCCGCGCAGGTGGTCTTGGTCTCAATTTGCAGACTGCTGATACCGTTATTATCTACGATTCCGATTGGAACCCTCATCAGGATTTGCAGGCCCAGGATCGTGCTCATCGTATCGGCCAGAAGAACGAAGTCCGAATCCTCCGACTTATCAGCTCTAACTCAGTAGAAGAGAAGATCCTCGAGCGAGCGAGATTCAAACTGGATATGGATGGCAAGGTTATTCAGGCCGGTCGTTTCGATAACAAGTCATCTGAAACCGATCGTGACGCTATGCTTCGCACACTATTGGAGACTGCTGACATGGCGGAATCTGGTGAGCAAGATGAGATGGAGGATGAAGAGCTCAACATGCTGCTTGCACGCAGCGATGACGAGATAACAGTGTTCCAGAAGATTGACGAGGAGAGGCAGAGAAATTCGCCCTACGGCAATGGACCAGGCAGCAAACCTCGACTTATGGGTGAGGATGAATTGCCAGATATCTATTTGAATGAGGGTAATCCTATTTCAGATGAGACAGAAGATGTTGTATTGGGTCGTGGTGCACGTGAACGTACCAAGGTCAAATATGATGATGGTCTCACTGAAGAGCAATGGCTTATGGCTGTGGATGACGATGACGACTCTCCAGAGGCAGCTGCGGCTCGCAAGCAAGCCCGAAAAGACAGGCGGGAGAACAACAGGCTAAAGAAGTCTGCAATCTTCAACTCGATGGATGAATCGCCGTCAGGTAGTAGAGCAAGCACTGAGGAGATTGAAACTCCCAAGAAACGAGGGCGTAAACCTGGCAGCAAGAACGAAAAGCGCAAGGCCGAAGACGGTAATGATGAGCCTCCTCCTAAAAAGCGACGTGGCCCACAAGGACGCCCCAGCAAAGTCAGTCTGGAGTCACGTCTTCCACCTCATCAGCGGGAAGTCTTACAAAAGAGTCTTCGTAACTTGTACGATGCTCTGATGACCTTGGAGGTGGACGATATTGAACCCCCTGAGGATGATGAGTCGGATCCCGGCAAGCGCCTCATCATCGGACCCTTCGTCAAGCTGCCTCCCAAGCGCGACTACGCCGACTACTATCTCATCATTCAGAATCCCATCTGCATGAACCAGATACAGACTCGGATCAAAAAAGAGGAATACACATCATTGAGTGGACTACGGAAGGATATCGAATTGATGATCCGCAACTGTCAAACTTACAACGAGGATGGAAGCATTCTTTATCAGGATGCTAAGGTCATGAACGTAAGCATTCATTGTCTGTGGTTGTCGATGTGATTTGTCGCTAACGTGATGTAGGAATTCTTTAACTCCAAGTACCAAGAGGAACTGGCGGCGCATCCTGAACTTCAAGAACTTGAAGAAGGGGGCAAGGACAGTTCAGTGGCGCCCTCTGGAAGTGGCGGCACACCACAGCCCAGCGGTACTCGCATCAAATTGATTTCTAGTGGCTCGAAAGAAGCAAATGGCGGCAGCACTGCTGCTCAAAGCGACGAGGAATGAAAAATGCGCCTGCTAAGGGAGTACTCTTGATCGACAAGATCGGGCCGCAAAATAGCCTGTAAAGTTGTATCGCCAAAAGAGGCGATTGTTTGATGATGTATGCAATGGCGTTCGGCAGGGCGGGTGTCAATAAACAACATGCGATCAAGGAAAGAGAAAGCGAAGGAAATCGGGGATCAAATACCATACAAAGACGCATTGACGAAAGTCGTTTCCTGAATCTCCCAACGGGCGACTCTGGAGTGCGTCAAGCCTGCAAGGGGATGGCGAATTTGCATTGCGTGTTTAGATAAATAGTAGGATGTATTTTAATAGAAGCCTTACATGCAGTCACATTCGGTCTTCCATAAGTCTATAAAGTGTAACAGCCTTGGCGTGATACGTTAAGGGCGGTGGTGAATATTTGATGCAATAATAATCTGAGTTTGATAGAGGTCAGGTGTCTTGAATTTGATGCTTCCTTAACCCAGTCAGCCCAGCTCTCTACAATAAACTTAGACCTGTCCTTATTCGCCACACATCCGACACGCAGACAGTCTTAGTTGGACATTCGACGAGGTCTGTTTTCCGTTAGATCGATTTAAATGGGCAAAACTTCATGATGAAGAAGACTCTGCTTCTTTGTTTTATTCACGGCTTCAAGGTATATGCGCCCAATCTCTGCCTCGTGTCGTCATAGTCATAGCCATAATACTAATTTTCTTCAAGGGCGGCGAGGACACGTTCGGCGTTGATTATCAGTTTACCAAGGACCTACGCGATTTGGTAGGGGAAGCTTTGCCAAAGCTTAAGGTTGAAGTGGTTGTTTATCCCAAATATGAGACTCGTGGAGATTTGGGCAGTTGTGTGAGTCGCTTTCGCGACTGGTGAGTATTCTTCGCTGAACGCTGCTGTTCCACAGACATTAGCTAAATGTGATTGTTATAGGCTTCAGAACAAGGTCATCGACATGGAGGTCGCAGCTGGCACACCGTCGCCAACGATAGAACCTTCAGTGCGAACCATCCTCGTCGGCCATTCTATGGGTGGCATCGTGGCGGCCGAGATGCTCATCGGCTTAGCTTCTGAGAAGCCTATCTACACAGAAGACGGCATTCAAAAGTCTGAGAAACCAACTTTCAATTCCCTCATGTTTCCCTACATCCAGGGTGTTCTCGCCTTCGATACTCCTTATCTTGGCATATCTCCTGGTGTAGTAGCTCACGGTGCAGAGGATCAGTACCAAAACGCTGCGCAGGCTGTAGGTGCAATTTCGCAGCTGAGCGGCCTCGGAGCGTCACTCTGGGGCGCCAAAACAGCAGGCTCCCCTTCAACATCGCCCGCTCCCCCAAAGACAGCTGGAGCACTACCAGCTCCCTCCGCGTCTGGTGGCAATTCATGGCAAAAATGGGGCAAAATGGCTATGTACGCTGGCGCAGCTGGAGCGGTAGCAGCTGGAGGTGCTGCAGCATGGATGAAACGCGACCAACTGGGCGAAGGTTGGTCTTGGGCATCGTCGCATCTCGAATTCGTGGGATGCCTTGCCAGAGGAGAAGAACTGCGCAAACGAGTGGCGTGTCTCCTTCAGTTGCGAGAAGAGTTGGACGTGGGGTTTGCCAACTTATACACTCGCCTTGGTAAAGCAGCGCCATCGAAGCAGATCAACGTCGTTGGTACCGTATTGGGACAGGACAGGACATTCTGCAATCTTCCCAAAAAGCAGCCCGGAGGGGTGTGGATGGAAGCCATCAACAACAAGGCAACGGATGAGGCTGGAGCACATATGAGTAAGTCAAGCCGCTCGAGGGTAAATCGTTATACTAAGACGGTTTACAGACATGTTTACACCAAGAGAAAATCCCGGGTACAACAAACTGGCACAAGATGCCACTGAAGTGATTCATGGGTGGTTACAAAATGGCTGGTACGAGACGAGTGCTGAAGAACCACTCCTATTAGAAGAAGCACCATTGACTGAGGATGTGCTTTCGCCCGAGACTCCAGAGGTCGAGAAGACTGTTTAACCTGCTGAATTTCTTTTCCCTTAATTAGTTAGATCTAACCGTCTAGACTATATATGTATGAATCACATCGAGGTAGTTCTTGGTTCCCCGAATTCTTCCAACTACATGCCATTCAATGACATTCTTCTCTCCTCTCTTCTATACCGTCTAGATTCCCTTTATTGAGCCTTCTGACCCTGAGTCTTCAGATTTCGCATGACCTTGCGCCTCTGGCTCATCATATGTGTGTACAAGACATAAGATCCTATATAAAGTCAGGATTACGGCCTCACACTCAGCCTTTCTTAACTTACCAGGAACATAGATAGCCAAAATGGCATAAAGAGCCCACTTATAGAGCTCGTTAATGTGGCCCGCAGGCTCAGTAGCGAGCCAGATGAGGGTGCACTCGCTGAAGATACCAATGGGGTAGAGCACAAAAAAAGTGTTATAACGCAACCAAGTAAGAAACTTGGGCTGGTAGCCGGATAGCGAGAGAGCGAAGAAGGAATAGCGGATAATCTCGGTGACGGACCAAGCGACGAGCATGGACGAATAAAAGGGCGAGAGGGCAAGGAAGGGGAAGACATCGACGATGGCCCAGACGAGGAGGAAACGCGAGGCGACCTGCATAAGGGTGGTCATAAGGGGAGCGCGAACGACGCCTGCAGGAAACAATCCATGTTAATATACATCACAATGTCAAGGAGCAGGGGAATCATACCGAGCAGCGAATGCAGCACCTCCAAACCAGCCAAAGTCTGCGTCCATTTTGTGTATTGGCCAGTATTGGGATAGACGTACTCAGGCCCATAGACACTGACAAGCATGGCGGTGCGACCGAGTACAACGGACCATTGGACAGCTGAGATGAAGTTGTAGAAGATCAGATAGGCCTTGTTTGCTGCTGAAGCCTGTTTCAGGGGTCGCTTTGCGGCCGCAGTGTTGGAGGCCATTGTTGCCAAGATCTGTGAGCCGGGAACTGTAAAACCGAACAGTATACTACAGCTGGATCGAATGGGTGACTGCGAGTTGAAAACAGAGTCGGAGCCTTGTGTTAGTGTGAGTGTTCATGACGGAAAACAGATGTTGAGGATGCCACTTAACAATGAATATCCGAATTTCCTAATTGGGCTTAACGCCTCGGTGTTCAGTGGTTTTGGTGGGGATAGCGAGTTGCCTAACCCACTCCAACCCAGATTCACATGCTAACAAATACACCATACAAGACGCCATTAACGCTACTCTTGTGTTAAAAGTTGCTTCTTTAATCATACTTGACTCGTCTCGTACTGATACTACGCCATTCGTATGCAGAGGTACTCTAAAAGCGAAGTCTGTGCCTGCTGACCATGATGGCCTCAGCAAAAATTGATCAATTCATGTCACACGCCTGATCACCGGTTCTCTAACTCATGAGAAATTTGCTTGGTCAATTCTTGAATGAGTAGCACATGCATCATACTTTGCGAAATCCGGCGGAACAAACTCGACGTGACGTTTGCACTTGAGACACCAACCAGACTCTCAATACGTCGCAGTCAGTCTCTGGACCAAGTAATCACCACTGTTGATACCTTCGTATTTCTTATCTTTCTCTGTACTATACGTCCCGGGAATCGCCTCGATGTAGCTCTTGAAGTTGGGGTTGCAAAAGTATCTGCCACCAAGTCAGCCAACGCCACAACAAAACACCACTACACTCACGCAATGCTGTATCGAGGTGGGTAAGATTCAGCTTGCTTCTGCGGAGGCTCAACGACTCTGTGAATAGTGCTCTTGATGGTATCGTTGCTCCATCTCGCAAGTAAGTCGCCAGCATTAACGACGACTGTGCCTTCGATTGGCGTCGCATCAACAAATTGCCCTGTTGGACTCTTGACTTGGAGTCCCCCTCGAGCATCTTGGAACAGCAGTGTGATGGAGCCATAATCGCTATGTGCACCGGCTCGAACAGTGCCTGGATTCGTTTTGAAGACATTGGACTGGACGGCTGGATAATGCAATAGCCGCAGCGTATTGTCTCCAACGTCAACAAAAGAGTCGAAGAAACTGCCGTCGAGCCCCATTCCAACCGCAATAGCTTTCATGACCTCCGCGTGCAGCTGGCGGCACTGCTCAAAGAATCCAAGCATATCCTTTCGAAACCCAACAAGGTCGCCAGTTTCTTCAAGCCATCTGTTTGGATATCCGGGCTCGTCTTCACGGCCAATCTCAAGACTCTCTTTCAAGTCCGGCAAAGCAGCACGCACTTTCTCGACCTCCCGGATATCCTTGAGCTGGCTGACTTTCTCGCGTCCAGGGGCCGAATAGCCTCGGTTTGCCTCTGGAGTTGTCCAGACAACCTCCATCTTCTTCTCGAGTGGTTCATTGAAGAAGCGAGCTGATAGATCAAATGCATGCTGTAAGTCTTTGGGAAGGATGGGATGGTTTTTGAGATAGATGAATCCAGCTGTTTTGAAACCATCAAGAATGGCATTAGCTGTTTCATTACGCTCTGGGGGAGTTCCGCTGAGGAAACGTGAGAAGTCGATGAGCTTGAAACAGGAGAATCTTAGTTGGCAAGAGTTGCAGTCTGCTGGGCATTGGATTACTGACGGGAATTGAAAGCCCCTCCTTGCTCACAGCTATACCTGAGGCCATGGCAATAGTATTCACAGAGGAAATACAATCAAAGAGAAAATCGAATAGAAAGAAATTGTGGTATTTCAAAACAGGTTGCAAAGAGAAAAGAGTCGCGTGCAATGTCTTTAAGTTTGCCGGCATCTGCTAGCTACATATACATAGGCACAACACCTCTATACAAGCCGATAAGCGTAACGGCACATTCCTAAAGTAAGCCATCAGAAACGAAAGAGGCTTGCCAGCAACCAACGTCTAACCCCTCAACGGTTACTGATAAGCAGGTGATAGGACATCGCAAGGTTATAGTGATAACAGCCATGCGGGGTTGGTATCAATCTCAATCGTTCCCTAGTAGCATCTTATGCGAGTCTCTCAACTTGGGTAACCCGATTTGTTGATCTGCAACGTTGCTGCGGCTTGGCCCGCAAGAGCTGATAATGAGTGTGTGCTGGCTGTGCCTCGTCCAGACATTCTAGCTTGCTTCTTTACTCACTCGGAGCCTGTGCAATTTCCAATCCTCACACTTCTACCATTGCCTCTTCTCAGAAACCGAAACACTATGTCATCCTCTTCCTCCCTCGTGGTAGACATACACACGCACATGTACCCTCCCTCATATATTCAAATCCTGGAATCGCGTTCCGAAATCCCTCTTGTCCGCAAGTTTTCTCAAGCACCTGATCCAAGACTCATCCTTCTGGAGGCTGAGGTCAAAGCATTGGAAGAAGCGACACAAAACCCTGAAGCAAAACCACCCGGGCGGCCTCTAACATCGCATTATGCATCACTTGCGCAAAAGTTACACTTCATGGATACGCACAGGATTGATATATCTGTCATATCCCTAGCGAACCCATGGCTAGACTTTCTGAGCCCTTCAGAGTCCGGCGCAATCGCGGAGTCAGTCAATGAAGAATTCTCACGCATGTGCGGCGATAACCCTGGAAGACTCTTTTTCTTCGGAACGCTTCCTTTGACAGCAGCTCTCGAGACCGTGCTCGCCTCTATAAAGCATCTTCGGGTCCTCAGATACTGCCGTGGGGTCATCCTGGGCACTTCAGGACTCGGGAAAGGCCTAGACGACCCTGATCTTCTCCCCATCTTCGAGGCTCTCGCAACAACAGGACTGACTGTTTTCCTACATCCTCACTACGGTCTCCCGAATGATGTCTGGGGACCTCGAGCGAGCGCCGAATACGGCCATGTGCTTCCCTTGGCCCTCGGTTTCCCTATGGAGACAACAATCGCCGTCGCCAGGATGTACTTGGCTGGCGTCTTCGACAAAGTCCCAGAACTGCGCATGATCCTCGCTCACAGTGGTGGAACTCTTCCTTTCCTAGCTGGCAGGATCGAAAGCTGCATCATCCATGACGGGCAGCTGCTTCGCGAGGGCAAGCTAACTAAGGGCCGCCGAACAGTGTGGGAGGTGCTGAGGGAGCAGGTTTATCTTGATGCTGTTATTTACTCAGAAGTTGGGCTCAAAGCGGCTGTCCAAGCTAGCGGTGCTGATAGGCTTATGTTTGGCACAGATCACCCCTTCTTTCCACCACTTACGACTAATGAACAGGGTGAATGGGAGAGCGTGAGCCTGAACGCAGAGGCCGTTGCGCTTGCAGTGGGACAAGACACAAGGGACTTCAGGAACGTTATGGGGATGAATGCTGTCAAAATATTGCGACTTGACGTAGATTCGTGATTCTAAGGGCCTGTATTAGCGCGAGATAAAACACCTCCTGGCGTATAGACAATGCTACCAACCTCATTCCGTATCATTCTCTAAAAGAATTTCTCAATTACGAAACAGATGCCTGTTCCGCAAAACGAACTTCAGCCTGGTGTATCCTCGTTTTGGCATCAAGTAGACCTTGCTCCGCTTGTTGGTACTCTTCAGGGGTCGCTTCTTTCTGCCGTAAATTCCTGACTGCCTGAACGGCGCGGAGTTTGTCGCAAACAAGCTCCCAGTAAAACTTTCGTTCAGTACCAAAGTCAACCGGGAAGTCGCCTGGTACATCCATGACACCATTGAGTGGTCCAGATGCAGGCTTGCCGTCTGTAGCCTCCGCGGCCCTTCGTGACTTGCGTAAGAACTTTTCTCTCGCCTCATCCTGTTTCTTCTTCTCCTTCTTTTCTTTCAGTCGTCGTCGTGCTTCCGCAAGGTCTTCAACTTCTTGCGCAGCAGCGGCTTGGCGCCTTTCCTCCTCCTCGCGCATGCGCCTCTGTTCAACTAATCGTGACCTCTCCTTCTCGATCTCTTGCTTCTCTCGCTGCTCCTTTTCCTCTCTCTGTACCTTCCAAGCATTTTCTCGCGCCTCGAGGTCGTCGACGAAAGCCTTGCGCTGCTTATCCATAGTCTCGCGCTCTTGTTTTCGTAGCAGGGCAGCCTTGATGGCGCTGTCGTAGGCGCCGCGCGCCCCTGGCTCGGATAGGATGTCGCGGGCACGTTCGAAAAGTTGCCATTTTTCCGCATCGAAGTTGTCGCCTGCTTTGTCGGGATGGTATTTCAGGGAGCGTTTGCGCCACGCGCGATGAATGTCTTCCTTCGGCGTGAGGGCATCGATGCCGAGAAGATCATAGAGATCTACATCTTTGGAAGCATATTCTTGCGCGAATTGCAGCAAATCAGCGGCTTTTGTGTCAGACATATTGAGTCTGCTAGATCATATGTTGTTCATGAACAACTTGTTCTGGTGTGTGGAGAAAGGCAGAAGCTTAGAAAATAGACAGGCTTTATTGAAGAATCACGAAAGCACGTGACCTTTAGAACAAGCTTTTGAGAAATGTATTGATAAAATACTATTAAGACGAATGAACATCTTATCTAAAACAACCAACTTAGTATGACTGACTTTCCCAATGCGAGGCGTTGCCTCAGATTGCCTGATTGGGCAACTTGAAATTAATCCCGAGACATGCATCTGTCAAGCTAGAACCTTTAACTTTTTATTGTGTCCGTGAAAATATATACGTTCGGTGTTCTTGCTGATAAGCTAAGTACGTATCGTTCATAAGGTCCCAAAGGCTCTTTAACCATTACTGGTTGTCTTGTCTCCTTGGGACCATCACTCTCGTTACCGACGGATTCTCAAGTCCATCGACCCTTCGACCAATCGTTAGGGTGGCCCATATGATCTTTTCCGCCGTTCGGACACCAACCAGGCTGGAATGGAACTGGGTCGAGAATATGACCTGGATTCTTGGTATTAGTATAGAATTATTAGTTCTAGGGGATAAACTAACCATGTCTCAGGGGAGTTCAGCTTCGATCTTCTTGAGTCTCTAATCCTGAGATCGAACATCGACTTCCATGTTTGGGATTTTAGACGCCAGGCCTTCGACTGCTTCAATACGGGTTGTAAAGTTGTCGAGCTTCTCGTTGATGGCATTAAGCTTGTCGTGGATGGGCTGCAGCTTTCGATCAAGGAGTCGTTCAAGATCTCTCAACGGAACGTGAAGAACGACGCCTGGCATGGCAGACATGTTTGTACTGAGGGATGGTCTTGTGATAGAATTGGTGATGAAATCCGGATAGAGAACTTGTGTTTGTTGTAGTAGATTGATGGATTTCTGGTTGATGGATTTCTGGTTGATGGTGTGTGTTTGAAAGAAAGAAAAGATGGGAGAGAAGATGAGTAGCCTGGGTTTTTATTTAAGGGCCAAGTACTGAGTTAAACCTTCCTTTCGAAGCTTGCTTGAGGGCTGAGTTAGTAGGTAGGTATTAAGTTAAACCTTCCTGTAAACTTGGCAACTCTAAAAAGGAAAGACGCTCTCATGTGTCTCTTGGAGATGTTTGACATGCCCTGATCTTCGTATCCGCCACCACAGTTGCCATGGTTCCCAGGAAACCATACCTGCCTGAGATCCGTTGTGTATTTGTTCTCGGGGAGTCTCTCCCCAACTGCTGGTGTGAAAGGGGGTCTTGTTTCATCCAGAGCGAGGGCCTGGAACGCATGTTCGATCCTATCTGATAGATTTGTGTCATACCACTTAAACGTAAGAAGCTGGTCAGCAACCGAGTTCTTCAAGATTTGGAGGTGAGACTTATTCGTCGTTGTCGACACGAATTCCCAATTTCACCAGCCATAAAACTCTAGGAATTCCGAGGCTACCCACGGTATCCCAGACGCCCACTGCTTTAATGGTAATGATGTCGCCTTCTCCTTCACTCCGCCTCACACGAGTGTAGCCGAGTTGCTCCAAGCGAGCTCTGTAAACGTCTGCGGCATCCTTTCCTTTGGGTTTGTTAGGGAATAGGATGTTAGGGAAAGGATCTTCGTAATCATCATCCATCCAATGCTGCATGTCTTTGAAGATAGGGTAGAAGAACTCAACACCTTCCCGCGTGAGTAGGCCTAGATTGCCAATCATGCCAGCCACAGAACGGACTGTAAAGGCAACTCGAGAGAAACCAACAAGTATTATTTCATCGCCATCCATATAGTTGGAACATAAAAACGAATATGTCTCCCGCATACGCTAGAAGAAAAAGTCAGTCAATATCCTTCATCTGATGGTCCGACAACCCTCACCTCTGCGAGTACCATGCCAAAAGCACCGCCAGTAATACTATCGAGTACGTTACTACCCGTACCAACACCTGACTCATAGTTGACAACTTGAAGCTTGCCATCGCTGCACCTCTTCTCAAAGCAACGGGATATTCGAGTAACGTTAGATGGTATCTGAAGAGAGCCTTCTTTTCTTAGCAAGCCGGCTTCCTCATAGCCATTGTCACTGTCCATCTAGGTGCCATCGCAACAAGCAATCAACCGCTTGATGGTCTTAGGGGCAGTTTCTGTAGTCATCATAGATATACAAGCGCCCGTAGGGTATGCGTTTCAGACGCTAAGAAAATGATGAGAAATGGTATTCGTCAAACGATGGTTACGATGTAGAAGTTCAGTGCGGCGGGTTGGACTATTAAATAAACCCAGAACGGCATAAAACAATGATAAAGGTTGAAGACTCACAAATGCATCACCGAGGCGTCAAATGTCGGCGCACGAGGACTTTGCCATCCATGAGACAAATTAAGAGACAGGCCAAGACTATCCCCGGTCTCAACCACAGGGCTGAGGCTCGCGAGATTACATAGTGTACAGTCAGACGACGATCCAAGGGTTAATTTCAACCTTCTAATAAGCCAATCCCGCAGCAAGAGTACGTGATTTGAGGTCATTGGTTGAATCCAATTGCAAGACTAATCAAAGTCCGCGAATGGGCTCTTCCACCTCAGCCCTCGTTCTGTAGAGACATCGCGTCGTTGGGGTCCGCAGCAATGCAAGCTGTTGCTTACTGCCTACTATAGAGGGCAAACACAGCGACTGGAACCCCTTGTCGAACCAGATACCGATCCACATTATTCCTAGGGGCTAATTTGCTATGTATTTCAGTGGTCAGCTTCGGTACATGTCAGAAGAGCCAAGGTTGACGGTGAGCCTTCTCACTGGCTGATATAGCCTCGACCCTTGCTCTTGTTGGTCAGCATTCTCAGTACATTCGTTCAGTTTTCGTTCCACCGCGAACTCTTTGCCTAGCCACGATACCCTGAAAGAAACACTGCAGCCTTAAAATGCTATGATTAATTCAAGGGCTCATGACTGGTGGCAGTGTGAGCTTGCGCCATGCCTCGCAACTTTGTATACCTACCTGTGAGACATGAAATAAACGTTCTTACACTAACCAACACATTTGCTACAAAGAGAACTCGCCTCCGAAGGCTATCATGAAATACCCTCCAACGGATGGGTTTGGTTGTTGCCTTGTCCAGGAAAGGTAGTTCAGGACGATCGCATAATCCTATTATTCGGCCTTGCTACTGTGACAACATGATACTATCGTGGACCGTCTTCTCACCCATTGACAGAGTTCCTATCTCAAGGACAAAGTATATTGACGCTGGGCCAGGCATTCTATAGGTATTAAGAAATAAAGAGTTTTCTTCTTCTTCTTTTTTTTTTCTTCTCTTACTTTTAACCTTATAAGAGGCTATCTAGCTTCTTAGCTTTTTTATTAGTAACTTAAATAAAAAGACCTCTATAGCGGGCCAGAAATAATAGAAGTTAATATTAGATTAGGTTTATCTGTCTTAATAACGCGATTACTGCCTTAACCAAGTAGTATAACAGCTGCAGGTCTACTCAAGGAATCAAGAGTATCGAATATATATACAGATCTGCCTCTACCTGATACACCGAAGCATTGTATTTATACAGTATTTTACACCACAGTTCCATGTTTACTGCTCTACTTTTCATGTCTCTGGTTCTCAGCATCGAGCCCTCTTCTCAACCAATCCGGTACAAAAGCTTTAACCTTTACTCTATTGCGGCTTTCCTCCTCGCCCCAATCTAACACAAACTCGTCCTCGGGGTTGAAAGACCCCGACGCCGCATCTCCCGGCAGTGTCACATCAGTCATGATCTCGAGGCGGCACAGCCCAAGCCCAATGTTTCCCACACCCTTGAGCCACTTGCCGGCGCTTCGACCTCGTTTCTCAAATCGTCCGATACTTGTGTCTCGTGGTATCATGTCTGCAGTCACACTCTCGAGAGATGACACTGTATCGTCTCCGTGATATTGCAGTGTTGTTGGCGGTGCATGCTCCTTTTCGTAGACTACACAGGGCAGGATTCGTTTGCGAACAACACCACGATGTCTAGTGCGGATTGTGAGTTCCTGGCCAACATAGCAGCCTTTGTGGAAATCGATTCCTTTCATGATATCCATATTCGTTTCCTGAGGAAGAGCATGCTCTCGAGATATCTCATCTTGACCTTCAGGAATACCGTTTAGGTATCTCCGTATTGTATAAGCTTCCTCGGTGCTTGGTTCGAGATCGATCCGGGGAGGGTGCTGATCCAGTTGCAGTAGCCGATATCCCAGACCAGGGGCTCGTGGATCCTGAAGAGAAAAGTTGGCCGACTTGACAATTGAGCTCAAGTCCGCAGAGTTCGAGTCTTCCCACGCATGCCAAACTGTCGCCTCATCTTCTCCCAATAAGCGAACGGCTAGCTTTGCTCTGAGCTTGTAACGCTTAATATGCTTCGCGAGCGTTGATGCTTGGTCTGCATCAACTTCAATCAGATACCCTGGCTCCTCTGCCGAAGCTCCCGAAGTATTGTGATTGGGGTAGATGAACACATCGTAGAGCACTCTGCCAGTCGCAGTCAAAAAAGCAGCATAGAACCCATCACTCCTCGGTTTTCCATCCTTCGTGGTCACGTTGGCAGTCACGATTCCCTGCAGAAACTTTGTTGAATCTGGTCCGGTGACGGATATGAGCCTTCGTGAAGTCAACAATGTATATCCTGAAACGGGCGGCGGGGGAGGAGGAAGCGAGGTCGCGAACCGGCGCCGTTGCAGCCAGTAACTATGGCATATGAGGCCCGGAGAAAGATCGTGAGCAAGGGCTCGCCTCGGGAGAAGTCGCATGATAGCGAGTGTGCGGTTTTCTCAAAACGTCGACTTGTTTTACACTGGAAAGGCCATTGAATTGATTTGCGAAAACCTACACAATGACGTACTGACAACGCTTGGTCCGTGCATTTAGCTCGCCTATGTGAGATAACAGTATCACGGACTTCGGACTTTGGCAATTCCCTTTTCCACATTCACAAGGCACGAAAACAAGATCTGCATTCTAATTCCCCCAGTCCGAAGCTTATTATGCGGAGGAGTTTACTGCTTATTAACCCCATCCTCGGGCTTCGGTCGGTATGGTCTTTAGATATCACTAACTAATGGTCATCAACCAATATCATGGATCCGTGGTCAGAGCGGTCAGCATTAGCAATGAGCAACTAAGAGTTCTCATACATATTATGCTGACCACAGGGATAGTAGATCCAGATGAGATCAGCATATTGAATTAATAGCCAATAGACGATGCTTAGACGATGCTCCACGTTGTGATTATTGTCCTTGTTCAAAACAAGCTGGGAATACGTAGCCAGCCTAGGGGAGGCAGTAACACTTAGGACCTCAATCCTAAATGATAAAAAGATTTAGGTAAGTTGGCTTAAATTTAGGGGCCTCTTTGATGAGTTTATTTTGGCATCCTCTTCTAGAATCTGAAGTTTTCTTGCTCCCTGGGGCCAGCTTACTAGCATCATACGTCGTCTGCCAGTAGGTCAGCAGCTCACCCTCAAGACCGGCAATAGATAACATACAAGTAGTGTGCTGTGGTGATCAGCAGACCCCTATATTAGACTCAGCGTTAACTAGTGAAGCTTATCAAAGCTGTCTGGTCTGCTCCCGCAGTCCCGATAACAGAAGGCCTATTACCTAGGTGTCTCGGCATGAGATCAAATCTATCTCGGTCACACAGGCCACTTCCCCGGACTCATCTAAACCCCCCAGTGGCCTGACATCTGATAAGCCAATGAGACACGGAGCTGTGCTTGCTCCTGATGTCTGATTCCTGGCCCGGGATTGCTCGGAGAGGGAAGCGGAAAGATGTGGGTCATTTTCAGGTCCTGTGACCGACCGACGCCGGCCGATACGACGCCGTGGCTCCAAAAATGTCCGTATCGGACCTTGTGTGAATTTTATCGATAGGTGGGTTTGCCTGGCGAGCGGCTTGCGCAAGAGTTACAGACTTGACACAGAGAACGCGCAATATAGACCCAGAAAACGCATAAGGTTCCATGAGGAATCTATTAGTTAAGATGTTGCGCGTATGTGACGAGTTCACCATTTTCCCATTCGATTCTCGCATTCTGATACTAAGTATTGGAGCATACGCGTATATGTAACGGGCGATAACGAGCGATAAGCAGTGTCTGGCCTTATCAATCTCATGATCTGTGATCGTCCATCTAACCCCGGTTTCCCCCAACCCCTTCTAGAGATCGACTTTTAGCTCAACGGACATGCTTACGAACACGAAGGCTCAAACTTCCCCTTCCTTCCCCTCTCAGCTACGTGGTTATTGTTGAGAAAGACCGTGCATAATGATAATGCCACGGCGAAAGGTCCAGACACTTCGCTTAAGCATGAAGCAGTTAATTCTCCTTTACCGCCTCTATCAAGCCATCAGGGGGCCAGCTAAGCTCATTCATTCGCAAACTGAGTCGAGAGAGGTGCATAGTACGTGCTTGAAACGTTGCTCCTGAACGCTGTCCCGTCCATTGCTGTCCTGCCAGGTCAGCCGTCGGTGAGAGGCCCAGAAGCGGTCAGTTCAGCTTGCTTGAGCAAGACACGCCCTGGGCCCTTGCATGGTGGATGGTATGTACCTGAGATTATGGGGCCGCGAGCCTCTCGGCTAAGAAAGCCAAGAAGGCAACGAGATGCTATTAGTGGGTAATGAGATCGAGTGGCCGGGAAACGTGTTCATGAATTTAAGGAATAAGAGAGAAGCTCGCGTCCCTTCTTTCCCTGATCCGCTTCATCGTGATCCATCGGACAGGAGAATTCATACTGGGCGTCTTGTCTCTGCCTAAGTAATGGAGCTCTGACCCGTCAGCATGTAAGGTTTAAAGAATTGAACTCCAAAGCGGAGACGACCCGCGCACACAAATTTTGTGCATGGTTCTATCCTTGTTCATGATTGAGTTGTCTTCGTCAACTTTTCGTAAAATATTTGAAAAGTCTGAAGAAAACCACGACCTGTGGAACTCTGGATCCAGTTGGACCCGTTTGAGGCTGGATGCGGCGATGGCTAGTGGGGGATGATGAAAAACTAATGTTAGTGGAAGATCGAAGCGTAAAAAAATTGCAATATTGGGCATTGAATGACTCCTCAAGGATGTTCTGATAGTTCTGCCAAGCCTTTATTCGTAAGTCCTTCTCTTTCAGTCAAGAGATGGAAATGGAGGGCGGGCTATGCGGCCTGGGCGGTTTCGCCCGTCCGTAATTTGTTGCCTGGGCTTTTTCTTTTTGCTGTCATCACGGTCATGCTTCTGCGCCCTGGCGTTGTCGTTGCCAGCCATCGGGGCTTGGTAATGTCCGCTCAGTGGCTGTGATAGTCATTGTCATGATTGATGTCAAACGAGCCTTTCAACTTGCTATGTCGCTGACATATAGCAAGAATGGAGAATTGAATGTCTCCGCTGACAAAACTCCGTCCGTTATAGACGCCCCAATGTGTACAGTTCGTGTGTCGTGATTGGGTATCGCAAGCCCTGATGGTTGGGACGTCAAGGTCTTTGGTGATGGGCGGGCCTGGCTGATGAATCATTCACCGCAATCGAAGGAAGAAAAAACACAGAACAAAAGGGGCGTGCACTAGTAGAGGAGTCGGTGTAGCATTGCCAAGATTCCGCACGCCCTTGACGGGTCTCACGGGCACCGCCTGTTGGTCCAGAGACCCCCGATCGGACTTGGGCTTGCGACCGATCCCGATACTCCTAGTTATCACGAAATTTTTGCCGCTGATAAGAGTATCGGCCGGCGAGCATGGCGTCAACGCCGGTTACCATGAGATAGCCGGCTGCTGACCGAGGCATAGCATAGCATGGTTCACGATTTGCAAGGAGACTCAATAATTATGTGATAGTTTTGAATGTTTTTCTCATTTGTTTTTGGCTTCTGGAAGCCTCTTTTGCTGAGCTATCTACCATTGGGGCGAAGCCTATCAAAGGCTGCCACTCAACCATATGCCGGGAGCGGCACCCAATCATGATAATATCCAATTCCCATCTGTCTGGTACAGTCCCTTCTTTGTCCTTCGTAGAGTGGTGAAATTCTTCTTTGTAATGACAAAATGAAATCCGTAGTCATATCCTTTGTAACTGAAAGAAAATGCAAAAATGCTTTTTGTTGTATCCAAATCCGTGTGGTATCCCTTTGTATAGTAAACGCCATGCAATGCCGCCATCGCTTTGTATATGAAACAAGTCGCTAAAACCACAAATCAATCATCGAGTGAGTTCCCGCTTAGTAGACCGAGATGGCCGACACAAGCCTCGCGGGGTTTCGAGGTGGCAGGTAGTACTCCTCATCGTAGAGTGAATTGGATTCTTGTTCTTGTTGCGACTGCTCCTTGACATCCTTCTCGTCAAAGGTGAGGATGGACTGAGGGGGCGATGGAGGCATTGAGTCATCGTCAGATGAATCTGAGTCGTGGTCGACAAGCTCGGGTGGTGAGTTGGAGTGAGATGGTGTTCGAACAAGCTCTAGCTGAGCGTAGTCCTCCTCGAGGTCATCCTCCTCCATGTCTTCGTCGAGCTCGATGTGTGTGATTCGGGGACTCATGGGCTTGACGGGAAGAGAAGTGTTGGTCATCTCGACGTCGTCATCCTCTGAATCGTAGTCGTCTGAATCCGAAGAGTCTGAGTCGTAGTCATCCTCATCTTCCTCTTCGACAATGTTGTCGGCCCATTGCACCCTTCGTTCTTGCTGGGCATTGGTAGCTCCTCGGACAGATTGGTTGAACCATCGTTCTTGTTCTCGCTCAGCATCGGCAAGCTCAAGCATCAGAGAGTCGAGGAGGTTGGCGTGACCGACAAGCAGGCGGAGGTCATGATCGGGCTGAGCAGCCTCACGAGAGAGCTTGGCTCGAGCCTTGTGGGCGAGGTAGTAAGTTTGTGTGATAGACATGTTCTTCTTGAGCGTGGATTGTCGGAGAGAAGAAGTCTTGGAGGCAGTTGGCCTATGAATAGAGGTGGTGGTTGTTGTTGTAGTCGACATGTTGAAAAGAGGACCCAGATAAGGTAGGGATCTTTGTCCTATGTATATAATGGCGGTTTGATGTTGTGAGTCAAGGCAGCGATCCCGATTGCGGCAGGCTTAAAGTTAGCGGCAGGGATGTCGGCTGTGGTGACAATGGCTTGTGGGATTAGGTGATAAGGTGCTAGTCGAGTCCGTGTGTTTGTTTGAGAGGACTGTGGAGATAGTTGACCTTGATAGAAGCTTTTGAGGCTGATTAGTAGTTGTTGTGATGATGTTGTGTTTATCTGATTGATGCTGTGAGAGAGATGGATCTTGGAACGGGGGGGATCCGAATCTTTTAACTCCAGTGATCCTTTACGGACTTTTCATGTTGTCTCACGGGTGTGGCATGGGATTATGAGTTATGCCCGACACGCCGCTAAGCGGACTTTGCGCACGCGGACCCGAGGAGTGCGAGAAATGTCCACAGTCCCCATTGCAAAGCAAGGGCCAAGGTTCGAAGGGTGTGTGGCTTAGTGATGATTGACATGGATATGGGTGTGTGTGGACGGATGACTCTTAGACACCGCGAAGCCGCGAAGCTTAGAAAGATCCACCCAAAAGGCTCTCACGGCACATCGATTTGCACATGGCCCCTGTACCTTTCTGTCTTTCACTGGATGACATGACTGACACGTCTCTGTCTCTGTCTCTGTCCGGCAGCGAAACATCCCCGTGGCCGCGGCCCCGATGTAGCGGGCGGACGTTACGGAAGTCCATGTCAATTCTCGGGCTTGGGTACTTCGGTCAGGCCGCTACCTGACGGCCCCAGCACAGGTATCTCCTGCATGATGTGTACCCGAACTGGGCAGACGGAGGTTCACTGGCCTGGATTCTTCCATGCCATATCCCTTTGCTCTTTGTTAGAGTTGTCGCAGCGACTGCATCTTCCGGCTGTCAATACCGGCTTCCAGCACCCATCTCATTCTGCCCAAGAGTACTACATGGTAACATCTGTAATTCCCTCC